ATTTTTAAACTCATGCTTTTTTTTATTTATTGTAATAACAGACTTCCTCCACTTCATTACATTTTGAGACAAATAGCTCTTACAATAAAGTCTATTGTGCACACATATGTTATGAAATTGTAAATTTTAAAATGAAGGTTAGGTAGTTTATATCCTAGAAAGGTCATATTGTAAATTGCTTTTCTTTAGGTAAAAAAAAAAAAAATTATAACCACTAAAATAAAAAATAATTTTAGCTTTGCAGATTAATACAACCACCACACCAAGTAATTAAAAAGTCTCATGGAAAACAATGAGTTTTTCATCTAATTTCCAGTTATTATTATTATTATTATTTTTTTTTTTTTTTTTTTTTTTTTTTTTTTTTTTTTTTTTTTTTGTTGAAATTAATGGTAAATTAATGATTACCTTTAGTAACTATTTTCTCATAAAATTGCATATAGGGGATTGTAAATAAATATCAACTTCCAGTGACTAATTACATATGGGATATTAGTGACTCATGTGACTTTTGTGATTTCCAGTATTCTAGTTGCTTGGCAACAGTTGCTAGCTTTCCCCAAAACCATCTGCGCTTGCTTGGCATATACTTTTAATTAGAGTTCATAGTTAAGAAAAACCCTTTTAAAACACCTTTACAAAATTATTTTATTTACTTATTTCTTCTTTTTTACTCCACTCTACTTTTTTTTTCTTTTCTGATATAATCAAGAGTATGCAATATATTGAAGTGATACATGGCAGTTTTTTATTTTTTTGTAATAAATAATTAACTTAATCTTCTTCCAGTTGACTGGAGTTGTATATTTCTTAATGTTTCTAAGGTCAAATGCATATAGTCTATAATTATCATGCATTTAATTTTCATAGAAAATGTTTTTAGAAAGAAATAATTTCATTATCTATAAGGTGGTTCGGGGAAACTGTTATGTACTAAAATTTATCCTCTTGCTTTTGTTTAAGAACTTAGTAACATTAAACAGAATATTAATCAATGGTTTCCTGAACTACCAACCTCATTGTTAACAATAAAAACTCACCAGCAAAGTCAAAAATACATAGGACTAATATTATGAATTTACATGCTCCTTATGGAACTGTAATCATAACAAATTCATGAATAATAGTTACGTTAGACATAAAACTAAATGCTTATCAAGACTTACTTTGTATCATTTGGATCATAGCTCTATAAGAGCCCATTTAAACACATATGGAGACCTACCAAAACATGACGACAGTGTGCTGACTGTGTTTGGAGAATTAAGACATTTCTATTGCTAAAAGAAATGCTATCTATATATTAAGATAAACAAAAACATGTTTGATAATGGCTAATCAGTCAGTTAAATGCCATATATGATACACGCTTGCATGATCATGTATCTTTTGATTCATTAATGACTAGGCAGATGATGTTCCTGGTGTAGGTTGCCAATTTTCTTTTCTTTTTTTTTTTCTTTTTTCTCTTTTCTCTGGTACACTGGTTGGCAACTAAGGCTATAGAAACTGGTCTGTCCTGCTATTCAACTCAGTAGGAGAGAGAGGAGATAGATTCATAGCTTTCTCATGGGTATTTGCACATGTGAATGAAATGGACCCAGCTGGAAGTAGAATTTTGCTCTCTGATTTCTCATTCTGAGCTGTTATCCATTACTTGAAAACATGCATCCCTAATAAATTACCTAAAAGTACTCCGGCCCAAAGATCAATTGGACAGTTCTTAAAGACTCTGTCCCAAAAAGAAATATCTTGTATGCATGTGAGAAAAATATAATAATAAACTTATTTGCAATGGCTTGTCAGTTATCTTCAATGAATTGTTTGTGTACATATATGTTAGCTCTATCACTGATATTGAGCGCTTTTCAATAAGTACAGCACATATATAATATAAAAATAATATATATAGAAATTATATATTAATGTGTGTGATTTTAAAAAAAAAAAAAAAAACTTAAAAATCCATATCAGTTATAATTTATTTCATGAATATTTTTATATTCATCCCTTCAGACTGAAAGTTTTTTAGAAAATAGTTTTGTTTTTTTTTTCTTTCCGGTCTGAAGAGATGAATATAAAAATATTCATGAAATAAATTATAACTGATATGGATTTTTAAGGTTTTTCTTGATTTATCATTATAAACTGCTCTGTAACTTATAACTCTTTTTGGATTAATGTCCTCTTTGGAATTATCCTGACCAATTACAAATTGGTATATATATATATATATATATATATATATATAAATTATATATATATATATATATATATATATAAATGGATTTTTTCATTTTATTAATCCAAAAGATCATCACTTAAACATTATTTTTAGTGGATACTTATTTCTTTATTAAACAGTATATTTACTTACCTTTGTATACCAGTCAGAAAATTTGAAAAATCTTTTTAAAGTAAAATCAGCACCCTCCAGCATGATTAGAACTTTTGTCCATCTTGACAGGAGAAACTGTCGTTAGATCCAATATGCATATACAGACTTAGCCATGAAGGACATTTGCTGATCAAGCAAGGTTGAATAGTGCCTTTAAGTGAAATCCTTCTCATCATAGATAAATAAATATACCATTTAATAAATAAACAGTGTCTACTCAAATATAGGTATCTACTAAAATAATGTTTAAGTGATAAAATATATATGTGAGTCTTACAATGGTGTCATATCGAGGGATATACGGCTGCACATGTTCAAAAGTAGACAAAATGAGATAGATTGAAATACTTAGATTTCTTGGTTTGTTGAGAGAAATTTCTTTTAAGTGCAGCGTGCTTGGTTAGAAGCCAATAATATAACTGATGAATAATTTTACACTCACAAGAATTTGGCTGCTGGTTGTGTGGAACTGAAACAAAAATATGACTTCAGATACTCTTCTCTTATTAATTTAATTTTTATTCTCATTTTATATAAAAAAGAATTGATTTTTCTCAGCTCACCTGAATTTGGAAGGAGTGAGTAAAGGGAGTTATTATTTCACACTCACTACAAGCCCATATGTAAATCTGGTGCTGGTTACGAGTTGTGATAGCTAATAAAGATTTTCTAATTAATTATTAAAATACAGGTATGAATCATTTTGAACATGCCTTTTGTTATCAAATTACAAGTAATACTTCATTGAAATACAGTTTTTCTCCTTATATGACATGTATTGTTTCTGTTACTCTATTTGTCTTATTACATGTCAGTTCAATGTGACCTATATTGCTTATTTATTTATTGTTATTTTATTGATTTATATAAACTTTTTTTTGTGTATTTTTCTTTGCTTTTATATTTTAGTATTAAGCATATAGTCTATTATAATTAGGTCCTATTAGTATTATAATGTGGTAGTAGGTAGCACAGAATGAATTTGTTTTTGTATTTGCATTTGGATATATTTATATCTGATTGTTTTATTTGATTGTGATTAGTAGCAATTTTATTTTGTGTATTTTCTTAAATTATATAATCCAAAGAAGAATCTGCAATGTTATTGATTTTGGCCTAGTGTCTTGGCTTCAGTCCCTTTTCACTGGCTTAAAGTAGCTTCCCTGTGCTTTTTCTATAAATACTTTTATTGTAATTGTTCTGATGAACTTTCTGCTATAGCGCCTAGACTTTATAAATCTAAACACAGTACTAAATAGAATTGAAATGGCTACATGTAACCAGAAGTTCCATACTAATAGTTTCTTCTCTTGTTGCACTTATCCCTTTCTTTAGGCTTTGTTTCCCAGTCAACTTTGATGTTCAAAAATTTAGATTTACAATGTCAATTGTTATCATCTGTCTTAATTCTTCTTCTTTTATTGTTCTCTTTCCTTAATAGTATTTTTTGCTCATATTCTCTAACACTTGGTAACCCCTTGTGTCTTACTGGCTTTATTGTCTTGCTTGGGGTGAAATGATTAAAATACTTAAAATATAGTTTTAAGTTATGCCATATTTATGGGTAAAAGTACTCAATATCTAGAATAGTGTCTAAATATAAGAGTGGACACAGATCTATATTGAATGGCAACAGTCTGTTTGATCCTTTAACGTAATCTTCAGGCCATCTGTGTTGTGTTGTAGCTTGACTGTTTATATATGCTAGTCAAATTGGTAGCAAGGTCAGTTATTTCCTGTCCATTATGTTATTCTAATAGATGTTGGATAGGCAGGAATGGTTATATTTTTAATTATTTCTATTCAATAAAATTAGAATAATTTAAAATATAACGATGCCTACTCAGTAATTTTTAGAATAACACAAACTGCAAATATTTGACGTTGTTATCTGTAATACCCCAATCATTGGCATATATAAATAATTGATCTATAACTCACATGGTCTGCAGATTGCATTCAACATCAGAGTACCACCACTTGTATTCAGTGTCCACTTTTATATATTTCTTGTATTTATTATATTTTTGTTCATATTTTCATATATTAAATAAGATATATATAAAAAAAGAAATGACTAACCTAACAAGGGTTGACTGCCATAAACCAATCAAGACAATTCTTTTTTATTTACACATATTAAAATATAAAAAAAATATCATTTAAAAATATCACATTCTAAATATTAGTTCATGAGACAAATGAAATTTGGCCAGAAGGCCATATTTTGCCAGCTCTTGGTATAGATTGTCAGATTATTTTTCAATTGAAGTGCTTCAATATGGGATAATTGTTAGTGAGGCTAGGCTGTTTGACCATTTACTCCTGAGTAGTGGATTCGGACATCACTGAGTGACCCCATAAGCAATGCAACATTAAATAACCCATATTGAAGGATTGAAATAGATATTATTGCTAATCTACAGAATTTATAACTTTTTTTATTTCCAAGTCTTTTGGCAGAGAAGACTTAGACATTAAAATCACATTGGTACTAAATTGTCTGATTCTTTATTATAGTAAACTAGAAATTTTGTTAGTTTGCTGGTATGTCTAGTAATTGTTTTCTATGTCTGATATTCAAAATTTTGTTTTGTTTCAGCCACATTCAGAAAAATACTGCCCATCTCATGAACTTTGGATCTACAACTCTCTAGTACGACAATGGTATGAACCTTTTTTATACCATTAAATAGATCTTGAAAAATGTTTAATTCCTGGAATCTTATACAAAACTTCTTAGTACTAAGAATTTATCAGTAATTAAAATAATTTTCTGTTAAAAAAAAATAGTTTAACTCCTTCCAGTTTTGTGGATTTAATTTGATTTCACTTTTAAAGTGTTTGCATCTGTCAGTGACATGTTTTTAATACCACTTAGTATTTTTTATATATCTAGAAGCACATGGGTAGATATTCTACCATTTTGTCTAGAACCCGGGATAATGGAAGGGGGGGAATTTACCTTAAAAAGTTAATAATATAACATGATAAATTGAAATAGCAGGAACATTGAATTTTATTAGATGAAGCATTGTCAACCATTATTAATTTTTGATGAGTATTCTTTTGTCTTAATTTTAGTTGATTTTCATTGCAGCTAATCTGACCATAAGTCTATTGCTGTTAATAAACAAGCATTAATATTTTATTGAATTTTATTATTAAATGAAGCATTATGAACCATTATTAATTTTTGAGTAGGATTTCTTTCATCATCTTCATTTTAATTGTTTTTAATTGCAACTACTCAGATCATTAGTCTTTGGCCAACAGTAAACAGTGTGAATCAGAAATAAAGAATGATTTCTTGTTGAAACTTGAGCTTTCATCCTTTTGCATAGGAGAGCCTCTCTTATTGTAATAGACACTTTTACTGCTATGAGTGCTTTACAATTGGCAGAACCTCAAATCTAATAAAGAAGCTCAATCAGAAGGTTGAATTAATGAAGAAGAATTGCTATATTTACCAATATATGAGATGCCTATTCAATTAAACAGAAAATGTTATTCTGCATTCAATGCATTTAAAATGGATATTTATGAGATTTGTAGGAGTTGCAGTGAGTTGTGGCTCTTGTAAATGGCACGTAGGTTGGTAAATATAGTGACTAATACAGGATATGTTACAATGGTCAATGGAATAATAATTCTGTTTGGTCTCTCCCTTGGTTAGAATGACTGTTATGCTCTGCCAATACCTCACAAATGATGGACTATTTCATTTTGATCATGTAGAAAGCCAGTAAAGGAATACTGGAAATGCTATTTTGTTTCAGTGAGAAAATGAAAGAAAGATAAGTGTTTAACATCTGTTTCAGTGAAATGGGGAAAAGTTGTCAATTTCAATCTTTTCATTTGTACCCACTTCTTAAAATAATGACCAGCATTCATATTTATGATTGCTATTGCAATATATTGTTAATGTTGTTAAAGTTAAATATTTAACAATGTGATAGGGGAATTTCTAGGGATATTTCACTGTCGTAGAACTTGCCATAAGCTTATACAGTTATTGAGTATTAAAATTCATTACAAAATTCAAAGAGGAAAACAGAAATTTTTAGGGGTATTTCTAGTCTAACCCTTACCAATTGAATAGTGAATTTGGTTTGGAATTCTGAGAATATTACCAAATATGACAAATACTTGAAAAAGATCAGATGTAAAACAGCTGAAATATGACTTTAAGGACATATTTATAAATGAAAGAATCCATAGGCAAAAACAAGGAAAAATTGAATATTTTGTGTAATTTTTATTGAATTCTGTTCAAGTTACATGACAATACTACAAAAATGGTCTTAAAAATGTATTTTCAAAATAAATTGTTGATTATGCTTAGATTGAACAAGATTTCAGCTTGTATTGCAGCACCCTATAGGAAAAAGGTCTTAATTTTTCAAAAATTGGACTAAATATTGATGTCATGTTTCTAAATTTATCAAGAAATGATGCTTATTATGCAGAAAATTAGATCATATAGAAAGTAGTATACAAAAACAAATGTGGTTAAATCCAAATGTTTGGTCCAAATGGGCTCTATACTGGATATTCCTGTCAGTATGTCTTTATAACAGTTGGATAACAAATTGTCCACAAATGGACCAGTTATATTTTGTTGGTTTGGTCTCAATTTTGTAAATTTGAAAGTCATGTCAGTAATGAAGAAGTCTTAAGGAAAATAGAAACAAAAAAGGACATATACTTAAAATAGGAAACACAGCTGAAATTTCTTGAACACGAAGGAAGGCTTGGAGAACTTGATACTCACAGGAAATATTAAAGGAAAATGGTACAGTGGATTGCATACCTGATGAGCTTGTGAATGGATTATGGAGGAATTTCTGTCTTGGCAAAGGGACAAATATTGCTAAGGATTACAGGGGATAGGAAGTTTGTGGAGTCCCATAATTGACCAGGTCCTGAAGGAGCACAACACATAGAAGATCATAAGATTAAAATATATGCAAGGATAAGGAGTTATAGGCTTTGGACAACATTAGTGTCATTTTATTGTCCTAAATTGGACTACAGTTAAAAGCTAGTTATCTTTTTGATTTGAAAAGGCTTAATAATTTGTGGTGTTCCATATTAAATTTTTAAAGATGTAGGCTTACTCCTGGAAAACAAAGTAAGGTTCTCATAATGACACCTTATTTCTGGGTCCTTAACTGGATCTGTGGCACCAAGCTTCAATATGAACCCCCCCCTCATCTGAGTTGTTAACAAGGATTGTTATTGTGGATATAACATCAGCGCTGTACACCTGTTGTCTTAGATTGCTTGGCCACATCCAACAAGCTTCGTCTTGCTTCAGGACTGTTTTGGAGTTCAGGGTTCTTGGTCACAGAGGTCAAGGTAGACCTAGGAAGACATGAAGGGACTGCATTAGGATGGATGTGTGGGAGTGTGGCCTTGCCCACATTAGCCCGCTTGACAAGGGTACTTGGAAAGAAGGAGTGAGATCTAGCTAACTACCCCTGTCACTGAGAAACCCACAGCAGTATATCAAAGCTCTGGATCTTGACTTGACTAACACCACTTTTAGGTCTCTTGTTTGTGAACAATCAAGATGGGGACATCATTTGAAATAAGTTGGTTTTGTTATAAAGTAAGAAAATTTTCTTTGGTTTTAAAAATAATTTGAACCTATTGTATATTTGTGTCTGTATTTTTTTCTCTTGTTTCTCTCTATTAAAGGAAATGTTACAAGACCAGGGGGGAAGTTCCACAAGGTCGATCTGGTTCAATTGCACATATGATTGACCATTACTTTTATGTTCATGGTGGCCATACAGAAAGTGGCAATACAAACTCAATATATCGACTTGATATGCAGACACTCACATGGCAGAAGCTATTGACCAATCATCAAGAATTACTGCCAAGTCCAAGAGACAAACAAGCATCATGGCTGTATAAAAATAAGTAAGTATTACTTCATATAAATATATAGTCTTTTTTTTTTTTTTTTTTTTTTTTAATCATTTTCCCCAAGCAATACAATAAAGCCACTAAAATGCAAGGGGTTACTGAGTGTGAAAGAATGAGAAAAAGGAAAGTATTGTATTTAAATTTTTGAAGATCAAATTTGACTAGGAAGGAAGAGACCAGAAGAGCGTTGATAAATCATTTCTATTTAATTTACAGTATTAAATTATTACAATTTAAATATCACTATATTACAGCCTCCATATTTAATTTACATTAGGTTGATGCAAAAGTTTCTAGGATTTATTTTGACATAATCCATATTAAATTCATTGTATCATTTAGTCATTAAAGATATTTTCTTGCTTTCTATGGCTACAAACCACCTTTTTTAAACAAAATTTTGCATTTCATTAATGTAAAATTTTTTCAATATTTGACAAAATTCTTTTTAGAGAAATTTAGTTCATCTTTAACTATCAGAGTATATCTTTAGCTTTTTAAGACTTGATGCCATCTTTTTAACTTGTGTATTCAACTACAGTTTTGATTCAATGAACTCTTTGAATAATACTTGTAAATAATATACTACAGTTGATTGATTGCTCAAAAGTAAATATCAAAGACACTTTTACATTTTTATAACATTTGTCAAAAGATGGTGCTGATAGATTTTGCATCAATCTAATACTAAATTCTCTCAAGTGCAAATTTACTAATGCTTATTACATTTGTTATAAATATGAATTACCATATTTGTATGTATCCTCCATATCATGTATGGTACATAGCATTCATAATCGTTAATATGGAAACCACAGTAGAATTTTGACTCTTTTTGATAGAGGCACAGTTTTAATGGAGAAAAAATGGCAAAAATTTAAGACGGAGCCTGAACTCTCTTCAGTGAAATAGTGATCAATGAATAAAAAATGTCCAGCCAAAAGACAATTTTACTAAGAGCTACAAAGACAGGAAATTGAGGAGAACCATGATTGCCCACATCTTAAAGGGACACAGCACATAGAAGTGTCCTTCATTGTTCCAGGTACTGCTGGTACCATGTAACCCAGTACTACCTGCTGTATGGCTGGGTCATCTGCAATGAAACTGGTTCCCCTACCAGGCTTTTCTGTGGAGAAGTATAACTAGACACCCATTAGAATTAAAAACAAAACCCGTAAAAAAGGCAGATGAACCTTGTAAGATCAATGGCCTTCTAGCACAATGTGGTAGACTGGGATTCAGTGTGATAATGACATGGCATTACTAGGCAGAGGGCATTCTAGACTCCAGTCAATGATTTTAACAATAGCCACATGTCCATCACAAAGGTGAGATTTTCAAGTTGGAGTATATCAGTTGTGGTTTGACCTGGAGAGGGATGGGCTCTTGTGTGAATGAATGCCTCTCTGGCTTTCAACTCGGATTTATGAAGGGAAATTGTCAGGTGCTCAGTTGTGCAATGATCCTATGGCCACACTCAATCATGCAACTGATAATGAGTGTCATTCAAGAGGTGTCAAAGGAAATAACAATCCAACTTCTGTTCTATTGTCTATTTGATTATAACTTGTGTAATATGTTCAGCATTGCGTCTTGATCAAAGACAGTCATGGATGGCATGATCAAAAGACACATCTCTTATAAATAATTAAATGAATTCCAGAGAAGATCATTAAAAAATGAGATGTCTGAAAGAATCAGTGCAAGAATTTGGTGACATAGTCATTGATATTCTTGATTAAATTGATTATCCTAAGACTTAGACTCCTTAGAAACAAGGGCAAGCAATAACTGTGCAATACTAATTAAGAACAAGATGTGATTTCCCTTGGCATGGACAATGGAATAAGAACAATTTTCAGATTGAATAAATAAAGGATTCAATTGGAAATTCCCTGAAGACTATCTAGATTGACAGGCACTTGAAGAAGTCTGGATGGCACAAAGATAATAATAACAAAGTTAATGACATTAGTCTGAATATAAGTAATTAAAAAGTTAGCCAAACATCAATAACTAAAAAAAAAAAAAACGTATGAAAGCCATGATGAGGAGTTACGTTTATTGGCCAAATATGGACAAAGACATTGAACAGGTAGTTAAAACTTGTAGAGGGTGTCAAATGGCAGCGAAAGCACCGCCAGTATATACACCATGGCCAAAAACAGATGTTCCATGGACCAGACTCCACATAGATTATGCTGGACCCATGAATGGTAATTTTTACTTGATAGTTGTGGATAGCTATTCCAAGTGGCCTGAGGTTTTTAAGTGCAAAAGACCAACTGCTTCTGTAACAAAAGATTTTCTTACAGAACTCTTTGCACGGTTTGGAGTACCATAAAAAATTGTCACCGACAATGGAACTCAATTCACAGGAAGTGAATTTAAGGCGTTTTGTAAGACTCTGGGAATTGACCACATCACGACTTCACCGTACCATCCTAGGTCAAGTAGACAGGCTGAACGGTTTGTTGATACGTTCAAGAGAGCCCTTAAAAAAACAAATGGTACTAATACAGACGATGGTAATATACAGCAGTTTTTAAGTATATACAGAATAACACCAAATCCAAACGCAATATCAGGGATGTCTCCAGCTGAACTGATGTTTGCTAGGAAAATTAGATCTGTGTTCAATAGGCTGCTGCCGGAAAGAAAAAAGAGTTACCAGAACAAAACGCATAAGGAAAATATGAAATATTTCAGGCCGGGAAATTACAAAAATGGGAAGGAATTTTGGCAAGATACTCCATCTTGCCAAAATTCCTTCCCATTTTTGTAATTTCCCGCAAAGAATTGGTAAGATGTTGTACATGATAAGAAGTAAAAAATGGACGCACAAAAGACATTTGAACCAATTAAGGAGAAGAAACATTGAAGAAATAAGTAAAGAAAAGGAAGAACCAATGGAGGTATTATATGATTTATTTGAAATACCAACTCCACCATTGCCTGAAACAGTTGTCCAAACAAGGACAAGAAAAAGAATTAGGGTGGAACGTTTAAGTCCAGATCCTAAAAGGAAAAGATATTAATTCTTCCGGAATTAATCTCAAGGGGGAGGTGTTGTGTCGGAAACCTACCACCCCTCTTGAAGATGAACTTGTCTGCGAACAAAGACGTTAAATAGCGGCATGTCAAAAGACAGTCAGAGACGGAGCAGTTCTTAGCTGAGATAGTTATTGACTACTCAGGCGATTTCTGTACCTAATTACCAACCTATTAAAACCCTTTTATTTGTTACGTGTTATTTGGCGTTTGTCTCTACTAACCCCAAATCAACATCATAACACTCACAGAAATTACTTTTACTGTGTTTTTAACTTTAAGAGAGTAAAATTACAAGGTGGCCATAACTTTTGTTAATGATTATATTCTTTATTGACAAGGCTGTTTTATATTTCAAAAGCAAGTTATATATTAATAAAATATTTTTTATTTTCCAGAATTTATTGTTTTGGTGGTCATGGTCCTGCCATAGAAGATTACTTATGCAACAGTGGCGAATATGTTAAAGATCACAGTAGTGGAACCGTATGTTTGCCATCTCTCTCTTTCTTTTTTTAACTTTTTTATATTTTTCTGTTATTTGGTTTCTATTATTAATTTTGAATTTTTCATTCCAGTAACATTTTCTCAATTTTTCATATTCTAAAAAAAAAAAAAAAAAAAAAAAAAACAGTTCTAGAAATATCAGTGAGGGGTGCTGAAAATTTCATAACTCCACCTACTTCCCAAAATTTAGCTAAATGACCAAATATCAAATTTGTTTGGAATCCCTTGTCATATGAAACTAACATTATTTATGATTAGATAAGCCTAAGTAGCCTATACCCTCAATAGTAAAGGGCACCTGAAAAGCATTAATGATTAACTTTAATCTTGTTTTGATTCTACGTCACTTTAACACATGTCAGATTTGCATTAAGATATAATACAATTGTAATGTTGTTGTTGTTGTTGTTGTAAAGACTCGAAGAACACTAGACTAAATATTTCACATGTAAAATTATTGTTTATTTGCCTTGAGACTTCATCAATTAATATCAGCATATAGTGTGTTAAAAGGATTTTGGGGGAGAGAAGAGATGTCAAATCGCTTATCCCAAGTATTATGAATGGTGCAAATGAAAAAACAAGGCTTTTACTCTGATGAGAAACTTAAAAGAAATTTACATTTATTAAATGACATTAATAATACAGAACACAAAATTTGCAAAACAGAATTTTTCTTTTTGTGCCAAACAATTAGGCAAGATAACAAATTCTAAATACAATTCTGTTGGGTTCCTAAAAAGAATTATAATTATTATCAATAAAATGTTCACTTATTTTGATTCTTTTGACTGTCTTTGTAGATATTTTAAACAATATTTCTAGCTATACTTTGCTCATGTAGAGGGAGATTCAAACATTGGGAAACAGGTGAACATTGATGCTAGTGTGAAATGAAATTGTTGGTCACAAAGTACCAAGCTGTCAAAAGTAATAAAAGAATTAAAACTGATTGGGCTGTAAAAGTTTTCATATAAACAGATGAACAATTCAATATTTCTCAAAGACCAAGTAAAAGATAGAAATTATTCATACATACATATATATATATATATATATATATATATATATATATATATATATATAAACACTTGTTCACTGCCATAAATACAAACAAAAACAGTAATTTTTAATATTTTTTTATCTACTTAATTATATAAACACTTATTTTAATGTTTTTATATAAATTATATTATTGATTTTGAATATCAAACTAAAATTATAATATAGCCTGATTAGTACCTAGGTGGGTGACTGCTTCAGAATATCATGTTCTGGGTGGCATTATGCATAATGGCTCAGAATTGTTAATCAGAGCCGAGTTCCAATTCCAGTGGAGTTTGTTATATTCCCGTAAGCACAAATACCCTTGGGGGGAAAAAGTATGAATCCACATCTATAATAATTCATAAAGTTTTAAATCTTTTCTAATTCTGTATTTGTAGTGGTTAGGTGATATTGTTATTAAGTAAAACTGTATTTACTAATCATAAATGGAAAACCTTACTACAATTCAGTGACTTCTAATTTAAAAAGAATTTAAAATTTTTGTTTTGTGTGTGTATAAAAGTGCTGAATTTTGTAAATACAGATGTTCATACAAGACATTATCAGAAAATAAGTGATAATTATAGTACAACTAAAAATTATTAGTCATTTTCTAACATTTCTTCAACAAGTGTCTTTGTAAGACTATAAAGCCAAAGTATCTAAACTTCAATAAAATGTCAAATTTGAAAATTTTCTTTAATTTTAAAAATTACTGGGTAGTTAAAAAAAAAATCACCAAATTTGCTGGCTGCGAAGATTTATCCCAAATTTAAAGTGCAAATTTTTGAGAGGAAAGAAGTAGCATGAAAATAAGATCTCAACACATTCCCCTACCCTAACAAAATGTTTTGTCTTTGGGGTTAGCAACATATCGACCACTTGTGAAATGGATTTTATTATTTTACCCTTACAACAGGGTGATACGTAAATTTATTCTCGCTTAGATGTATAAAATACTGAGTGGGATATGTACATATGGTGAAACTGCATCAAACGCAATGATGCTCCCATTCCACAATTCATTGTTCTCCCTGGCAGTGTCTTTTCCATTCACTGAAATATTGACTAAAGGTCCATTATAATAGTTCTGGCAGTTTTGTTCCCTCAACACAACAAAATAGCACTACAGTCTAATGGGTTTCCTCATGTCCAGATATCTTTACACTTATGGTCTTGGACACTTTAGCATCCACTATCCTATTTGATACCACATCAAATGTTAGTGGCACCTCATCCATGTTTTCAATTTTTAAGCCAAAGCCTTCTGAAGTTATAGCTCACTCTTAGTATGAAAAGGTACAGGTTTGATTATGACCAACACTTTTAGAGATTGATTATTGTGGAAGCTCAATAAAGATGTCAAGTTTTAAAAAGTTATACTAACATATTTTCAATCTGTCAGGCTTATACAGATAACAGCAGAACAGATAAAGATTGGGAAACATAAAAACATTAAAAATAAACAAAATTGAAAAATAGAGAAACCCTGTTAATGGTTATCATATTGTGACAAGTTGGTGTGGTTTAGCTCAGCAGTTGCCAACTAGGATATTCCTCAAGACTGAGTGGTGCTACCTGTGTTTAACTTCCTTGATACTACTAGTCTGTTGGATCTCCTCCCCTGGCAGACCAGGGAAGGGGAGCCAACAAGGTTAGGAGAATATTATGTACATATACATATTTTTTATGATACTTAATTTACTACCTTAAAGTGTTTAATTTATAAATTTGATTAACAGATCGCATACAGGAATTCAGTTTACTGCTTGGTATAGATAACCTTCCTCTGGGGTTAGCATAAGTTTACAAAAACCCTAATCTTCATACTCAAGGAAGCACTGTCAATTTTTGAGACTTAAAAATGGCTAGATGTAACCGAGTTCTGTGCTAACAGTTTCTTTTCTCGCTCATAGAACTCGCTTCTGACTTCTTGCTTTCCCGCCAACTTTGACTTAAAAAAATTTAAATGCAATGTCAATTGTTATCTACTGTCTTCTTGATTTTTACTCTTTTATTGTTCTTGCTCCTTAATAATGTTTTTCTTTATTCTTTCACTCAGTAACTTCTTGTGGCTTTATTGCCTTGCTTGGGGTGAAATAATTAAAAAAAGAAATTCCTTTGTTGTAATGCAAGTTCCACTCAAGCAGCTTCTCACAAACTGCTCCATTGTGGAATTGACTTCTAAGAGGATGCTTCCCTGATCAGTATAATCTTGGCCTGTTCAAGTCTATGGTCAACTGTTATTTTCTCCACATATCCACATAAAATATACATCTTATTCTGTAACCTCCATCCTTTTTATTTTTGTTGTTTTTTTTTTTTTTTTACAATGATGTTTACCTTGTACAAGACCTAAGAGCCACTCAAGGCTCTTAGGTCTTATACAAGGTAAACATCATTGTAAAAAAAAAAAAAAAACATTAACACTTTCACTGCTGTATTGTCTGGCTATGCTGGCCTGTTTTGGTGGTAGAGGAAATAGAAAATTGCTATTTACTTGAAATAAATTACAATATGGAGGTGATTTCAGTGATAACATTGGTGATTTCTCATGGGTGCTGCCATTTTGATTTTTGATCAGATAATCTGCAGTACAGACTAAATGTTACAAAAGAGGTCATACTGTATGCTGCTATATATGTATTAGTTTGGAAATAACACTAATCACTAGTTGGTTTATAAACAAATACTATGGACCAACATTTTATGGTGTCTTGCAAACACCAAAATATCGACGACCAGCAATACATCAACAACAATGAAAATATAAAAAATCAAAAATTTTCATCATATAAAAAAATTCATTTGATGCTGACTATCAATTTGTTGATAACATTGCAATCAATATATATGGAATGAGGTAGCAAGATTATGGGTCAAGCATATGATTACGTAGAAGGTTCCCCAAAAAGGTTAATTTCTGTTTTCCAGCATTTTATGTGGTCTGTCAATGGCGAGGCCCAAAGCTTGCTGGATTAAATATGTCCAACTTGTATAAATTTTCTAATTTTATATCTACATAAGTTTTTTTTTTTTAATTATTTTCTTTTTTAGACTTATCCTCGTGGCTGGAACAACCAGTTGTTGATATTTGACACTGAGACCGGGCAGTGGTCAAACCCAAAATGCAGTGTAAGTAGTTATTTTTACTTACCATTTGATGAGTAAACATTAGATAGCCACTAGATTTTATTTTGTCAAGTATACACTAATCTATAAAGTTTAGTCTCTAGAGCAATCTTTTTCAACCTCTTTTGTTTTTATCTCACAGCACACTTGAATGTATAGTTAAACTTCTACAGCACACTTAAATTATGATCAAATAAGGAGTAAAAAAAAAAACGAAAGATTTTATGATTTATTTATTAACCCAAACAAAACAACTTATAATAAAAAAATAAATTAAAATTCTTAAAAAAAAAAAAAATTATATTTATTTATTTTCTATTTATTATAATTTACCATTTAAAGATATATCTGAGCTAGGTGTTTTTTTTTGTTTTTTTTTTTTTTCTTAGATCTTTGCAAAGTCAAATTTTGGAAGACATACTCTTAAATCTTCTTCCAAGGATTCTAGCCATGAATGATTTTTGTTTTTAAAATTGTTTATTGCAGAAAAGCTTGATTTTATGTATATGTTTATTATAACAATGATATACTTGTATAATCAGTTTAATGGGGTTTTAATTTTGATATGTACACTTATTGTGCTTTGGACTTCTTTTGAAAATAATTTAATTAATGGCCTTTAAAATTTTTGAGACAACTACTGGTGAAAATCACTGCTCTAGAGTTTAGTGCCACTATCTATTGGCATTGTCACTTTTTGCTGCTACATAATCTCTTATCCAAAATGCTTGGGGCCAGATACTTTTGGAATTTTTCAGATTTGAAATTGTAATATAGGGATCATATAATGTGGTAGCCAAATCAATTATGTAAGCTCTGTAGCTTTTTTCCCCCACTGTCTTCAAAGGTAAAAAGAAAAAAAAATATCTGAATAGCAGCGGCACATCAGACTAGTGGGAGAATTGCTGAAATAACTTGTGCTTCTACTAATCCAGCAGAATTAAATTTCATGATATAGGTCACATTGGGCCAGTACAGCTGAAAAAATGTTTGACTTTTCAGAGCATTTTTGTTTTCAAAATTTCAGATATGTACTTTTTTAATCTAATTCACCTCAAGCAAGGCAACAATGCCACTAAGATGCAAGGAGCTACTGGGAGTGAAAGAGAATGAGAAGACCTTAGAAGGAAGTGGAAACCCAATCCTAAACAGGGAACAAGGAATAAACCTCTATTCCTGTTCAAAAGTCTGGGGAGGAGTGTAAACCAGATGATAGGCAGACCTATTGAGGGGAAAAATGTTTTAAGTGGCAACATTAGAAGTATAAAGTTGAAGTACTTTAGAATGAACCGGGAACCCAATCCTCAACAGAAAACATGGGATAAACCTCTATTCCTGTTTAAAAGACTGGGGAGGAGTGTGAACCGGACGATAGGCTAACTTTTTTTTTTTTTTTCCAAGCATTACGCCCCGAGCAAGGCCACTAGGATGCAGGGGGTTGCAGAAGATTTGGAGCGAGAGCAGATAGGAGTGATAGAAGAAAGGATGAGGAGAAGGATAGTGGGTAGATCAAGGTAACTGGAGGTGTCGATTGACATTACATTTGAATAGTTGGAGATTATAGCTTTCAGGGAAACAGTAATTGGGAAGGGTGTTCTACAGGCAAGAGGTGCGAGGTATGAAGCTATTGGAGTAGAAGAGACGGCTACACTTGAAGGTTTCTATAGTGTAAGGGTGGGAGCAGGATGCCAGCCTTGTAGGGCGCTTGAATTCATGGAGTCTGGGAACCAGTGAAAGCAGCTCATCGGAGCAATTACCATGAAAGTATTTGTAGAAAAGACGGAGAGAGGCGACGGCGCGTCTGTGAGAGAGTGACTGCAGACGAGACGCTAGATCAGGGCCAATTACATTACATATATCGATTCCGGGGAGAAAAATTTCCTGGTGTGGCACAGAGCCAACTTTCCTCGCGGTGGAAGAAGCAATTGACTCAATGTATTTGTTCCATCTCGGGTCAGCAGTCAACGTGAGACCGAGCAGACGCAGGGAGTTGCTCTCAGGAAGTTGACTATCAGACATTTTAATGGGGGGCAGGGAAGGATCTCTATGGTGGTTAATGGAGAGTAGTTTAGTTTTAGAGGCATTAAAGTTGACCAGCCAATTCTTGCCCCAGTTAACAACCGATTGGAGGTCCATTTCGAGACGCACGGCCAGGTTAGTTTTGTCGCCGATACTAGATTTGTTTTTGAGGCAGGAGTAAATTGTAGTGTCGTCCGCGTAGATGCCAACTTGGGAATCTATGGCGTCAGGAAGGTCATTGATGAAAATAAGGAAAAGAGTAGGGCCAAGGATGGAGCCTTGGGGAACACCTGCGTTTGTGGGATAGGAACTGGAGGAGAATCCGTTGAGAACGACCTTCAATTCTCGATTTGACAGGAATGATTGTATTAGATCAAACAGTCGACCAGTAATACCATAACCCTGGAGCTTATGAAGAAGGCCGGCATGCCAAACCCTATCAAACAATTTGGAGATGTCTAGAGCCACGGCATGAGCCTCACCGTTATTTTGAAGGGCTTGGTAGACGGTTTCAGTGATGGCCGTAAACACATCAGCTGTAGATCGGGCGTAGCGGAAACCATATTGCTTGTCTGAGAGCAGATCATAGGATGTAAGGTGGTTAACCACTTCGGCATTGATTAGGACTTTGAAGACTTTGCCGAAGAGGGGTAGGAGACTAATAGGACGGTAATTAGAGGAGTCAGAGGGGTCTCCAGAGTTCTTAAAGACAGGAACAATGGATGAGGACTTCCAGCAGTCAGGAAAACAGGATTCCTTGAGGTAGTAATTATACAGTTTAGAGAGGGCTGGCGCTAGCTCAGGCGCGCATTTTTTCAAGACAATGGCTGGTATGCCATCTCCACCACTAGCTTTGTGGGGGTCTAAATTGGAGATAACCCCATCATTGGTACTGAGCATTATGTGTAAGCCGCTCAATAGGGCCTCAGTTCTTAGAGGGAAGTCTGGTATGGGTACACTGGAGTCAAGCGTTGAATTAAATGAGAATTTCCGAGCAAAGCATTCAGCCTTGTCGGTAGAGGAGGTCAAGACCTCGAACTGGTTGAATAAAGGAGGTATGGAGGGTTTTCTATTGTTCAGGACGCTCTTACAGAGCCGCCAATAATCTTTGGAGCCAAATTTGCGAGATGCAATACACTCCTTCATCTGAGCAGCAAATATTAACTTAGCTTTGTTGAGGACACGCTTACACTCGTTACGGGCGGAGGCAAAGAGACGTCTATTGCAGTCCGACATGTCACTACAAAATATGTGAAAGAAGTGATTCCTATGGGCAATGGCGGCTGAGCAAGCAGCGGAGAACCAAGGGGAGGAGTGCAACTTGACCTTAAATTTCCTTGAGGGGATGAAAGCGTCGATTCCAGCTTTAACCCAGGATGAGACCTCAGAAGCACATTCTTGGACAGGGAGTGTAAAGACAACATCCCAGGGGACATCGCGGAGGAAGTCACGGAACGAGTCCCAATCCGCTCGTTGATAGTAGAACAAGGTTCTAGTGATGGGAGGTTCTTTGCGGGGTGTGGAGTTGAAGGAAATATTGACAGATACCACGGCATGATCAGAGTTACCAAGAGGGCAGAGCTGTGTGGCACTACAAGATTCGGGGATGAAGGTAAAACACAGATCAAGAAGGGAGGCCTTACCTGCCAGGTTGAGGGCAAAACACGTGGGGAAGTCAACTATCTGCATGAGGGATTGAGAAATTGAGAAGTTAAGTGTTTGAATGCCAGCCCGGTCAGTAGTAACATTCGAGCCACTTGGTATGATGGGCGTTAAAGTCACCAAACATGAATATGTGAGCAAACGGGTGGAGAGAGAGGGCCTTGTCTATGCTGTCAGATATGCTTTCGAGTATCCCACAGTCTTGAGAGGATGGAGAGTGATAGAGAAAGAAGAGATAGCTTACGGCATTGAGGAGAGATAGCCGGAGACACATGAACGAATGGTCTGGCGATTCGAGAGACAACTCTCTGGCCAGGGGGAGATGGTCCTTGACATAGACACCAAGGCTGTGCATGTGGGTTAGTCTTTCCTGAGGAGAGGAAGGTAGCCGGGGATTGAGAGATCAGAGGAGGGAATAGACGAGACAAGGTTTCTCACACACAGCCAGTATATCCGGTCCATTTGCAGCGAGGAAAGATTCCATACTGCTGAAATTTGTTCTAATGCCACGGATGTTGGAGAAAGAAATGTTGAGGGGTTTAGGTGATTTTTGAGAGGCTGGTTTAGGTTCTCCACTTTCATTTGTTCAAATGATTAGTTCATGGAATTAAAAGATTGCATGCTGGTATGTAAACAAAGAAGCTTACAAAAATTTGTTTCTATCACAAAATATATATTCTTTTTTTTTTTTTTTTATATATATATATTATTTATATATATTTATATATATATATATATATATATATATAAACTAAAGTTTAAACCATTCTCAATGTTTCAGGTATGTCCATTTTTTTTTTTTTTTTTTTCTTTTCTGGTTCAGAAGTTAGGATAAGTAAGGATAAGCATCATTATAATGGTGGAGCTAAAGTCAGCCTTGCACTGAATTGGAACGACTGATAGTTGATTTACTTAATAGACCGAAGTTTTGGAAGACACATGTAAATGCCATGTGTTGGAAAGTGTAAAGAGTTCAGTCATCAGTGGACTGTAAATGAATGTGATCCAAATTTTTATTTCATTTTCCAACAACTTATACTGTAACAGAGCAAATGCTGTAGGCTACATTGAGCTACACCATTGACAGGGTGACAGCAAATTTACAAGAAAATAATATGTAGACATAGAAATAGTTATTGTATTGTGGACTGATGATCATTTAAGATTTGAAAATAACTGCTATCTTCCTCACATATCTCCATAAATCATGCCTCTTACTCTGTAACCCTCTACCTTGAGAGGCACTTGAACCTTCTACAGGGTGAACATCATTGTAAACAAAAAAATAAATGCCACTTAGCATGTGGTATTGTTATATATATATATATATATATATATATACACTGATTATATCTACAAATAATATATCCCCCCCATAGTGGATGTGCAGGAAGGGGGTAATATATAGCAGTTCAGAATGAGAAATTATTGAACAGTTTGAATATGAATCCATCTCTTCCCCAGTTATGGGTTAAATAGAACTTGTATCTCAAAAAGTCATTGTTATTCTCTAAAAAGTATTAATACAATATTCACTTGCAAAAAAGAATTATTCTTACAATTCAAAATATACTTAGGCTATGAATAACCAACAAAGGGTTGATAAGCAGTAAAATAAAAACAAATCACATCTATCCCCAATATTGAGCATTTTCCTCCCATAAATATAGCAAATGTTAAGCAATAAACTGTTGTGCAGTGTTTCAACTGAACACACTGTTGTCATCAGTGTTGCTAGTGCTTTCATAGTGACTGATTTTTATCAAATTTTCTATTATTTTAGTTGCACTATTATAGTAATTAGTATTTGTGAATGTCTATCAACAACTATTTTTCAGTATGAACTTTAATGAAAATAAAGAGAAAAAAGGTTTCTGTTCAGTTAGTAATAATGCTTTAACTATATTCTGATTTAATACAGAATGATGTTAAAAAGCAATTTTGTTGCTTGTATTCATGTAATTTCAGATGCATTAGATTTAAGAATTTCAAAATTCTATCTTTTGAAATAGACATTGTAGCAAAATGATATAAATGAAGGAAAGGTTTCTATTCATTTAATTATGTTTTGATTACGTTGAATTTCAAAATCTTATCTTTGACATATTACTGTATAATAAATGGATAAATAGCTTGTCAAGTCCTGACCTTTTCAACTATTAAATCACCTTGTCTGAACTTGATTAATAAATCCTTATGATAATCTTGAAAGGAATATCTCTTAAAAAATGTTTTTTTCCATGGAAAAAATGTTCCCTGACAAATTTTGATTGCCAGTCAATCTATCATTGACACTGAAGTTCCACACTGGACATATAATATTATTTTTATTTTTAGCCTGGGTGGAGCACCGTTATTTGAATGTTTCTGTTTATGGTAAAAGAATGCTCTCATGGAACAATATCCTGGAGAATTAAAGCATTGGTTCATGTATTTGATAACAGTAATTGTGAGTTCAGTCCCTAGGTAGAGTAGTACTGACTAAGACTTGGTGGAAATGGGACAAGCAATAACTGAGCAGTACTGAAAAGAACAAGAAGAGATATCTCCAGATATTGACAGTTGAATGAGAACAACTTACTCCTGTAGAAAAAGCAAAGAGTTTAGTTTGAAATTCCTTGGAGGTTACCCAGATTCACAGAGACCTGAAGAAGGCTGAAGAGTACAATGACTGAATTGTGATAATGACAAAGAGCAAGACAGAAATTGGAATTTATTTGAATTTAAAATTATCCCTATAAATAATAACTCCTTATCCTATAAAATAGAATACAGCCAAGAAATAAAGTCCTCTGTCTGCATATGTTGGTACAAGAATTCCCTTGGATATTGAAAAGGATTCATTATCTTTACACACAGGAATGGATACTCATCCCCCTCCCTAAAAAACAAATTTTTAGTAGGGGTTGAGACAATCTTTTTCTCTCATTTGAGTATATTTTCATGTAAAAATTTTTAAAAAATCCTTTTTATCTTTTAGGGTCAAATTCCGTCCCCACGGGCTGCCCATGCTGCCACTCGAATTGGCAGCACTGTTTATGTCTTTGGTGGACGGCATCTTCAGATGCGAACCAATGATTTGCATTCTCTGGACCTAGAAACCAATGCATGGACCAAGTAAGTTGTCTATGAATTCTAAGTAAGAAATCTTAGTTGCATAACCAAAAAGTCCACAATGCCGTTATTATGCAATATTATATTGTTCTCATAATAACCTGTATCTTTTTCTTTGCATTATTAACAACACTTAACAACTCGTCAACTGCTGAAAAAAATTTCCACCATTCACAGTAATAGATTAAATTGTTTATTGGAATGGTTGTCAAAACATTAGCGAATTGCTAATTGATTCAAACTTTTTATAAAATGCTAAATAAGGATTTCCTTATAGTTGGTTCATATATTTTTATAATTTAGTAAATGTTTATGAATTTATGGACAAAAAAAATTGTTTTCGTACTTATTTCTTTATAAATTGGTAAATGATGAGAATTGCATTGTATTAGTTTTTATGTTTTGGGTATATAGTCTAGCTGATTAATTTAGTTTTTTTTTTTCTTTTTGTTCATGTTTCCATCACTATTGTTATTAAATATCCCCACATTGTGATAAGAGAAAATCTGCCAAGAAATGTTTTAAAAACCTGGATGTAAATTAACTGGATGATCTTGTGATTAAAGCACTTTCTATAAATTTTCATCTTAGTAAATTGCTTTCTCTTTTAATTAGAGTAGCATTTTTTTTTTTTTAAATTGAAATTATGATCATTCATTATGGTGAGCAACTCATGCATTTAGTCTGTTATTTTGTATAAGATCACTTTTCTTTTTTTACCTTATAATTGTTTCTATATAAAAATGTATGCATTGTTTTTCCCATATATATATATATATATATATATATATATATATATCTCACACACACACGTTTCACTTTTATTAAAGGTTGCTCAAAGATTGAGAGAAAGCAGACAAAAGCTTTAATAAATATAAAACCTGATATACATTTCGTATTTGTTCTTTTATTTTATCATCCTGTCAGATTTTGATCTACATTTGATCTTTTTAATGTGTGTGTGTGTGTGTGTGTGTATATATATATATATATATATATATATATATATATATATATATATAAACTAGGAAAATAATCACTAATTTCTATTAAGTATATATCCAATATTTAAAAATATAGTTGTTAGAAATATTTGCCAAGTTATTTTCTATAAGTATTTTCAAAGAAATAAGATTTATAACAATGAAGTAATAAAAATTGAATAATTATAGATTGAAATAATTTAAGCAATGACACATTTTTAACAGAATAATTTTGAATTTTTGCAATTAGTGACCAAAAATAGGTAAAAAAAAAAAAAAAAACTTCAGTAAAAAATTTTTTTATATATATATATATAGCGGTAAAAACCAAAATTACCTCATGCTGAGGTAATTTTGGTTTTTACTGTAAAAAATATATATCCTCATTGAGATATTGAACTCTCTATGAATCGGTTTTAATATCTGTTATTACTAGAATCCACCTGGATTATATAACAACAGACCTATTACCTGTACTTATATAATTGATTTATAAGACTATTTGACCAATTAGTGGTGTTCTGTGAAATTTTGAAATTGGTCAATGAGAAAAGTTAACATTTATTGATTTATTGAATAATTTGAGTTCTATAAGTAGAAAGTGACAGTGGAAATTGTCAAAGGCAGGATTTAAGAGAATTTTATTTTATTTTATTTTTTTGCTTTCTTAATTTTCTCTCGTTTCATTTGTTTAGGTTGGAGACAAATAGCAAACCTCCGTGTGGAAGATCGTGGAGCTCCTTTACAGCTGTATCACCCACACGGATTCTATTATGTGGAGGGTTCACTCAGGATAACCGACCCTTAAGTAAGTTAAAAAAAAAAAAATTTTCTTGTGTGTGTGTATATATATATATATATATATATATATATATATATATATATATATATATAAAGTAATGCGAATTAACAGCGCCTAAGATTTTGAATGAAACCTGCCCTCATGAAATGTAATTTATTAGGTTGTTGTAGCTTCTTCCTTTAATGCCGGTCCTCTCCCCCACCCCTTACCCACCTATATCTAGAGACAATACGCGTTAGCTGACACACAGTGGGGTTAAGAATAAGGAATTGAAATGGTACATCTAACCCACTCATATCTTATCTTCTCTCCCACCATACTTCCTTACTTTGTTAATTTTACATATGCTTGATGCGGTCAAAAACGTGTGAATTTCTTTTCATTTTTCATTTCAACCTTTGGAAGTAAAGTCTGATGATCCAGAGCCCTGTTAAAGGGGTTATGGTGAAATAACTTATTACATGGAAACTTAAAGTGGTCTGTTTTTATTCAAAATATATATATATATATATATATAATATATATATATATATATATATATATATATATATATGTGTGTGTGCACATTTCATTGAATATGACAGACAAGATGGTTTGATTTTAGCTTTTTATACAATTTCTCATGTGATCTAATATTTTTTTTTCTTTTTGGATGATAGTTTTTATATAATTAATCATATATTATAATATCAACTATGATGAACATGGACATAATATCTTGACCATGTTTTGAAAATGAAAACATATAAATACATACATACAACAAACTATTTTTTTTAACAATTAATATATTTCAACCTTGAAAATTTCTAAATGTATAGCCAAAAGCACTTGCATAAAAAGAACAATTGGACAGTTTTTATATAATTTATCATCTGAAAAGAAAAAAAAAATTAGATCACATGAGAAATTGTATAAAAAAAACTAAATCAAAGCACCTTGTCTGTCGTTTTCAATGAAATGTGCATGAAAGAATGATTGCTGCCTAAATACACAAATAACAATAAATTTGTCTATTCATAATAATATATATTTTCAGAAATCGGTCATTAAATATAAAAAACTCTTGTGTTTATTTTATTTCATTTTGCAGTTGACATAAGCTTTAATTATTTTACATATCCATGAGTGACTCAACACTTTTAATTTATTGGAACTTTTATGTTTGGTACATTGAAAAATTTTTTTATTTCTTTTGATTCATACAATTGTCTCAAAATAAAATTTAATTTCTGTAAATGAAATATTAATCAATTACCTAATGTAATCATATTCTAATTCTGCTTGTTCCTTACCCCATACATTACACCCTCTGCCACTACCTCATAAATAATGGATCATTTTCAATTATAGTAATAGAAAAATTTAAAACCAAAAAAAATCACCTACTAAAAAACACTACAAACTTTTGTTTCAACTCAATATTTACACTGAAACTCTGACAGATACATAAAGTGTATTAATATTTTTGGATAGAGCAAGTTTTGTGTTACATAGTTGATATCAGTGGCTATGGATTTACAAGATGTTCTACATTTCATGAGTTGACAGCTGTGTAAGGCTACTTGAAACATGACTTGTCAAATACATTGCTAACATTTGCATTTTAAAATCTACCACTACTTTGATTACTTTTCTAAAGATGTTACTCTATGATTTTTTTTTTTTACTCATTCTCTTTTTTTTTTTTTTTTGCCCTCTCTTTCTTTTTTTTTTTTTTTTTGCCCTCTCTTTCTCTGGTTTTTTTTTTTGCCCTCTTTCTCTGTTTTTTTTTTTTTTTTTTTTTTCTCTGTTTTTTTTTTTTTTGCCCTCTCTTTTTTTTTTTTTTTTTTTTTGCCCTCTCTTTCTGTTTTTTTTTTTTTTTTTTTTTTTTTGCCCCTCTCTTTCTCTTTTTTTTTTTTTTTTGCCCTCTCTTTCTGTTTTTTTTTTTTTTTTTTTTTTTTTTTTTTTTTTTGCCCTCTCTTTCTCTGTTTTTTTTTTTTTGCCCTCTCTTTCTCTGTTTTTGTTTTTTTTTGCCCTCTCTTTCTCTGGTTTTTTTTTTTTTTTTTTTTTTTTGCCCCTCTTTCTTTCTTTTTTTTTTTTTTTTGCCCTCTCTTTCTCTTTTTTTTTTTTTTTTTTTTTTGCCCTCTTTCTCTGTTTTTTTTTTTTTTCTTTCTCTGTTTTTTTTTTGCCCTCTCTTTTGCTCTCTCTCTCTCTCTCTCTCTCTCTGCCACATCCTGTGTATGTATAGGTTGCAGGGAGGGTGGAAAATAATTTGATACCGACAAAGACTCTGAGATGCTTTTGGATTCTAAAAAGTGAAAGCGAGGACTGGGCAGCCACCACCCAAATATGACAACAGCACTCCATTATAGGACTGATCCAGCTCTTTTAAAGGTAGCAGATTGCACGAGGAATCGAGTACTTACTGGAGCAGTACAGTGAACTGACCATTTTTCCTGCATCTTTAGCAATTGGTTGTATGTACGAGTTACACGGGTATCTATGGGTGAGTTTAAGGCCCAATAGTGTTTCAAGGAATGTACCCCCCCCCCCCACAGGAGTCATTGAATTGATCACTTAGAAATATGTAGGGAAGGGGTACTAAAAAAAAGCTTGGGAAATGATATTCTGATTGTGTTGAATTTCAGCATGAATAGCATGTTTCCTGACTCCTGACTGAAATCTCTGAACCCCCTCCTTTTTTTTTTTCTGTGTGACTATCTACAATCACTTTCACAGCGACTACCATAAATATACCAAATTTTAAAAATATATAACTTTAGCAGTTCTCCTTCTATGGGCTGTGTCCCTTCAGGACCTTGGGAATCATGGCTTTTCACAACTTTCTGTCCTTTGTAGCTCTCAATAAATTTTGTCTTTTCACCATCTTTCCCAAATCCTGCTCTGTTATCTATTCTCACTCAAACTCACGAGTTGTTTTCCTCTGTCCCTATTGCCTTTGATCTGTCCTGTTAGTATTTCCCAGGCCACTTTTCTCATTATTCAACTCTCTCTTCCTGATATTAAGTATAAGTGTCCTTTTTGTTTCCATTGTCTCTAGAACTTTGTTGTTGCTCACATGTTTGGTCCACAGTATTCTCAGCATCCTTCTGTAGACTGGCATTTCTGTTGCTTCAAGTCTCTTCATCAGAGAGGAGATTGTCCAGTATTCACCACCATATAGAAGGACTGATATTAATGGATTTTAATCCAACATTTTTCTTATTTTAGTAGATGCTCATGTTTGAGTAGACATCCCTGTTTTTTCAAACAGTGAAATTTATGTCCACTGGCATATACTTAAATCTTATTGAAGAAAATGAACCTCTAGACAGGAACCGACTCTGCATTCCCTTATCCAGGTGTTCTTTACCATTTGGTCATGGAGATCTTGACCATTTAAGCCTTGCTTGGCTCAAATACCCTTTTTATGAAATGTAAATCTCTTATTGACTTTGTTTTCACTACAAAAATACAGTAATTTAAACAATTTATTGATTTTAATCTGACATCATTTTTGACTAATTTAATTCAACTATATTCTTGTAATTGTTATATATATATATATATATATATATATATATATATATATATATATATATATATATATATATTTTTTTCTTTAAATATTGGTGTGTTAAACTTAACAGGTGGCATAAAAAATTTTGTTTCACAAGTGACTGAAATTTATGCTCTATATACATATTCCAAAAGGTGTCATTTTAATACATCTTTCCATGCTATTCATGTGTGGACTGCGAATTTTAAATGTTTATATGTTAAATTTATGAGTGATATCTTTTTCTGGAATCTTTTAAATAAAAAAAAAAAAAAGCTTTGATTATTGCGACAAAGATCTTGAAAAACAAAAGATCAAAAACAAGATGTAATTAAGACTTGAATATTCAACAGAGAAATCCAGATAAAAGAAAGATATAATTCCATTTTTGATGGGTACTATACTATTATCCTTATAATAATGGACCTAATAGTCACATGGCTGAGTGGTTAGAACAGTGTTTCTCAACCAGTGCTCCCTAGGGGTTCTATGAGAAATGGTGATAAATACACTAATGCATTTCTGAGTAATTTTTGTTTTAATTTTAATATTTGTAATTTTGTTATACACTTATGACATCTTGTTGGAAAATCCTTGGTTGCTTCAATCTCTTGTATTATATAAAATTATAATAATCATAGGGAATATATTTAGTGATATCTATATAGTGTCAACATGAAACTGCCTTCATCGATTAGTGAACAGAATCTATACATGGCAGATCTATATATCACTGAGTGACTCACTCTGGTACAGGATACATACATTGAGTTCATATATTATGTTTATCATGTGAACTATGATAAAAATATGAACATTATATTAATAATGGTATATAATAATTTTATGCAGAATTTCCCTGAGACCTGAAAAGTTCTGGTTAATATTTCTAAACTGAAGCTGGTGGAAGAAGGTTCCAATTTAGTTAACTAATTTTCTATCCTTTTTTTTTTTTTTTTTTTTTTTCCACTTGGTATTTTCACTCGTTCATTTAGAATTTTTAAGTATCTCAGTACCTCAAGTCACTAAACAACATTTCATGCATTATTATGAGTCAGTTCCACTGCCCCATTACAATGGTTTCTGGTGAGATTTGAACTTCCACCTATCAGATCATCTTTCATAAATGTTGACTTAACCCCCATTAAGCATTGTATAATCTAAAGTCATCTTTCTTACTTTCACCTCTTCCTTCATTTTTTTTTATTTGTATTTTTTTAATCATTGATTGATATTGTGTTAAAATTTTTGAAGATCAAACTTAATCTGGAAAGCAAGAAGCTGGAAGAAAGTTCCACAGGTTAGAAGTGTGAGAGAAAGAAATTGTAAGCATAGAACTTATGGTTGCATCTAGCTAGTTCAGCTGTAAAACAATGAGATCTTGCTGCCAATCTAGTACTGCATTTAAATTTATAATGTCTTGGTACCATAGGGGAAAGTTTATCCAAACAATTACCATGAAAGTATAGAAAAGGCACAGGGAAGCTGTTATGGCTGTGGGAAAGTGACTGATGTCAGGTCTAATAACATAGCAGATTCTTCTTTGAATTTTATTGCCATTTTTGTTTTACTAACAAGTAATACTTACATATTTGTGGTATTGGCTGTCCATGTGTGATCATGGTTGCCAGATTGGGTTACTTTTGAAGGAGGTAATTTTCAAATTGTGATGTTGAATTTTATTTTTATCTTTCTAGCTGATTTGTGGCTCTTAAATGTGCCTAACCTTCAATGGCAGAGACTTCCACAACGTTTGAGTATGCCTCGTCTTTGGCACTCGTGTTGTGTCACTCGAGATGAAGATATCTTAATATTTGGAGGTTGCTGTAGTAACATCTTGGACTATGAAAGGGAGGCTGTAAGTATCTTTCTAATTACTATTTTATTTTTGGTTTACCTTTCATGAGGCATAGTTATGTATTTTCAAGGTTATCAAAAATACAACTTATGGTATTCTTAGATACATCAATGTCTACAGCTGAATAATGAAAAATTTTTATTTTTTACACCCAAAATAATTTTTCATTATAATCTTTTGTGTGTATGTAATTGTGTTGAATACAATTCACATTGATCTGAAATTTTCATTTTTTAATCTAAGTTTAGCTACTAATTGTTATCTGGCCACAAACGTATTGATTTACTCTTGTAGATTTCAGTAAAGAAACAAGGACAAAACTATTTGGATTCTTCTCTGTGAGAAGATTCCCTTTAGTTATTCTGAGTGTGTACAACATTGTCTTAGTTTCTTTGTTCTCCTGTTGCCTCAAAAAATTGGAAAAAAAAAAAAATGAGTACTATTTTGTAGTAATAATATCAAATGTGAAAATGTCTTGGATTGTCTGTTTCAGGATTCAAGATGAGCTCTCATCTTAATATTAAATCATTTAATAATTTGTATATTGAAAATGGCTTCAATCAAAACCAAAAACAAACAGTTTTAAGCAAGAGTAATGATTTTAGCAATTCAGGTATTCTAAAGTGAAGCTGTACTTTTGTTTTTTAAGTAAAAAGTTGAAAATTGTTTTCTCTTAATAAAGACAAGAAAAAGAAAACCTATGATCAAGTTTATAAGAGCGGCAATAAAAATGAATCTTCAGTCATGAAATTTTATATTTTATTTCAATATATTGTTATAAATCTCTAATTGTGCCTATTCTATAAATTAAACTTTATTATTTGTGTGTGTATGCAAATATATTGATAAAATAGGAAAGAACCATTAGATTGATGATCCAAATTTCTTTAATATTTTTGTTTTTAATTTTAAAAAACAGTGCTCGATACACAAGTAGAGCCTAGATTATAATTATTTTTTTTAATTTTTTTTTTTTTTTTTTTTAAAATATGATTCCATTGCTACACAGGAATTACCATGTTTCAAAAACAAGCTAAAAACTTTCAATTCAATTATAGAAATTAAAGTACCTAGTTCTGTTTCATTTTCAAGTGAATTAAAACTGAATGGGTAAATATCGGTAGGTATGCGAGCAAACATATACAAACATGTACTCTATAGTGTAAGAAAAAAAAACAGTGCTCAATGTTAAGTAACAGCTATTATGTGTGTGTATATACACATATATATATATATATATATATATATATATATATGTATATATATATGTATATATATATATAATCTTACATTAATTGCACAAGTTTTATGCTGAAGCAATTTTCAAGTGCTGGAATTATTATTTCTTATATTGCCTTGAAGATTGTTCAAGCCTGAAACAGGTTATTGTTTGTTGTTTATCTCTGTCTACTTTTATATTCTGTATTTTCACATGGTCTATCTCTGATATTGAGCACTTTTACCCATAAATATAGTATACCTATATTTTTATCATAAAATTCATTACAATACATAGTTTCTGGTATCTGCTTGATGGGAGGGTGGTCTTGGAACATATCCTCCTGTGGATAAGTTCAAACTAATGTAAATCACTTTTTTGCAGTGTGATTATTTTTAATTAACAATAATCAAAATGATAAATACAATTTTGTCGATTTTGTTTATCTAATTTCTTTTTATTTTCAGGTACATACAAACGAAGTGCTCTGTTTACGGGTGAATCCTAAGTCTCTTGTAAGGTAAACTGTAATTAGTTTTATTTAAAAAAAAAAAAATAGAAGCTTTTCTCTCATTGAAAAAGGAGAGATAGATACAGCATGGAATAGTCAAAATAAAATAACCAATTTTACTATATTTACTAGTTCATTTATCTGGCAGTTCACTGACAGTAAGATGATCCTATTTTGAATCTAAATTGTTTGTCCATTTCAAATACTACGTTTATTAGAAAATATATTCAGTTTAAATAGAGAAGGTGTCATAAAAATGACTGCAAAGGGCCATGTATTTTAACTTCTACTCTTTTCCTGTTATCCAGGCATTGTTGTCAGACATGGAAATTTAGCTTGTGACATATGCCCATTTCAATACCTTTCAGATCATGTGTATCTAAATTTGGGTGTGTATATATATATATATATATATATATATATATATATATATATATATTAGATATTATTTTGAACAATAAGAAATTAAAATCATTAGACACACTGGGTTGTAGATTAATATTCTTTCGTTTTTTTTATTATTATTATTCCATTTAGATTCCTGGACTAGTTTCGACCGAAATGGCCATCATCGGGAGGAGAAATATTTCTGCTTGCTGTTAGCAGTGAACTACAGAAATGAATGTCTTTTGTTGGAGAAAATAAACTTTTGTCTGTAGTTTTCATTTGTTTTTTTATTTTTTTATCTTTTTCACATGAATCTTTTAACATTCCTTGTGTTGGTCAAACAGTCTCTTTTAAGTTGTTATTTGAGATAAGAACTGGATAGATACATATTATTCTGAATTCTCTGCTCAGTTTGACAGTTTTATTGGACCTGGTGAGGGGATGTCTCTCTGTTTAGTGTTTGTGTGTGTGTGTGTGTTATTTGGTTCTTAGGGAGTGAGTATGATATGTGTAAGCGTGTGTATTGCTGTAGGTGTGTGCTATCATTTGGCTCATTAGGGAGTGAGTGAGTATGGTGTGGGTACGTGTGTATAATCGTGTGGGTGAGTGTATAAGTGTGAGGCCTCCATTCCTCGTAAGCATGTCTGTCTTGTGTGGGTGAGAAATGTGGGTAGGTTTTGATTTGTTGAGTTATATATTGTTACTATTATATATTGTTAAATTTATGATTTAGCCCAGCTGGGTATTTTGTTTTTAGACGTTGTATCCACTTATTTTCATAGGACTCTAAAATCTTTCTAATGTTATCTGCTCTGAACTTTTCTATTCTCTCAATTATAGTGAATCTGGCATGGGTTTTGAAATCGTGTTTTTCTAGGCGGAAATGTTGTTCTACAGGTAATAATTGTTCATAGGGAGTCAATTTAATTTGCTTACGATAATTATTAATTCTGTAGTTAAAGGGCCATTCAGATTTTCCTACATATTGTTTCTGGCATAGTGTGCATTCTAGGAGGTAAATTATGTTTTGACTTCTACAGTTAGAATCGTGGTAGATTTTGAAAGTAGATTTAGTGATTGAGCTAGTGAATGAATTCGTGTTTTTAATATGGTTGCAACATAAACTTTTTTTTGTTGTTACATGGTTGGGAAAAATCCTGTTGTTTTTGTTCTCAGTTCCTTACGGATTACCTTGTCCCCTGAAATGTGGTTACTACCTATGATTTCTTTTAGGTTCTTAGGTCTACGATATGCAAGAAGGCCGGTTTCCTTAAGTTTTTTTTTAGGCCTGGTTTGAGATGTAGTATTTCCCAGCGACGTTTGATTATTTGGGATAGTGGAGGCAGAGTGGGATTGAAAGTGGTTACTAGAGGGATGGCTAGATTTATTTTTAATCTTGTATATTAGGGTGTCTTCTCTAGGTATGGAAATTGCTTTTTATTTATTTGTTCCCTGATTAGGTGTTGTTTATAGCCACGTGTTGTGACTTGATGCTCCAGATTTTCAATGTGTTTATTTAATTCTTCATTGTTGGAACATATCCTTCTGAGTCTAAGTGCTTGTGAATAGGGAAGGTTCTCTTTGAGGTGTTTAGGGTGGGAAGACTTAAAGTGTAGATAGTTGTGGGTGTCGGTGATTTTAGTGTGTAGTGTCGTTTGTAGTTTCCTGTTTTCATCTATGTAAATGCAGGTGTCTAAAAATGTTACTGATGTTGTGGATTTTTCATAGTCAAACTTAATTGAGTCGTGCACTGTGTTTAGGGTCATAAGGAATTGGGTAAGTTTGTCATCACTACCCGTGTATACAAAGAATATATCATCGATATATCTTGCATAGAATACGCAGTCGCTACCAATGATTAGAGAGATAGGGGTCTCCTGAAATTTTTCCAAAATTTCTCAAAATATTCGTCCTTTGATACTTGTATCTATGAAAAAGAACGTTAAACATAAAAATGTCTTTAATAAATAAATTGTCGGACTTTGTCCATTTCTTAATATACGACGTCATTTGTTTACATTTGATATGCCAGAGCAGTTATGAATGTACGAGATTCATAGAAGATTGAAGTTTATAAGCAGTAAATTCGACGTTGCCTACCGAACGCTCCTTTGTGGCCGAGACGGTAAGGCACGTCAGCGTAAATGACGGTTCCGTATAGGATGCAGGCTCGAATCCTGTCAAAGGACGAATATTTTCTATGAAAATTTCTCGGACATTCAGGCGGTAAATGTTATTTAATACTGTTTATTATAAACAGAGCATTTACTTAAATACTTGTATCTATAAAAAGAACGTTAAAATAAAAATGTCATTAATAAATAAATTGTTGGGTGAGAAATGTCCATTTCTTAATATATATATATATATATATATTATATTATATATTTTATTTATTTATTTATATATATATATATATATATATATATATATATATATATATATATATATATATGTGTGTGTGAAAATATATAGAAAATAGGAAGGAACTGGTTAGGTAAATAGTCCAAAGTTCCTTAGTATTTTTGTTATTATTTTTAAAAAATAGTGCTTGATACAAAAGTAGAGCATAAATATAATTATTTATTTAAAAATATGATTCCAAATCGCTACATAAGAGGTCTCATGTTTCAAAACAAGAGCCGAAAACTTCAATATAAACCTTTAAATAATAATAATCTATTAAATAATAGTTATAATAATAACTATTATTTAATAGATTATTATATTATTTAATAGATTATTATTATTTAATAGTTTTAATAATAACTATTATTTAATAGATTATTATTATTTAGTGTTTAGTCTAAATAATAATAATCTATTAAATAATAGACAAGAGTTAACGGTTTCTTGTAGGCATCATCAGATTTTTGGTTTGAAATAAAAAAAAAAAAATAAAAAAAAATTATATAACTTGTTTAACAAATAACCCAATCATCAGATTCATAGTAGATATTATTAACTACAAACTTGCATACAACATAACACCCTTCATAATCCATAGCCCAAATTAGTAGTTTAAATACCTTACATAAAAGATAACCCTTTATGAAGTCGTCAAAAAACAAACGCCACGAAAGTTTTTCTTTTTATATGCACAATTCCCTTTCATAATAAAATAAAATAAATAAATAAATCTCCATAGACAAGCCAACTTGACGAAAGCTTAATACATCTTCGTTTCTTTTTTAACACCCTCACCTTCCCCCGACTTGACACCTTGAAAGTATCCCTATACCGCCACTCATCATTAACACCCTACACTCGCCTACCCATTTTAGACAATTCGCCCTAGCTGTTACCATGGTGATTTTGATTTCAACTTTTAAAACAAGTAAATTTCAGATATACGTTATTCCAACAAAAAATTCACTTGAAGATGGAACGGAGCCCTTTTTAATTTCAACTCAATTTAATTTAAAGGTTTATATTGAAGTTTTCGGCTCTTGTTTTGAAACATGAGACCTCTTATGTAGCGATTTGGAATCATATTTTTAAATAAATAATTATATATATATATATATATTATATATTATATATATATATTATATATATATATTATATATATATATTATTAATATATATATTTATTTATATATATATATATATATATATATATATATATATATATATATATATATATATATATATATATATATATATATATATATATATATATATATATATATATATATATATATATTATATATTATATATTATTAATATATATATATACTGAATAATTTTTGAAGTTGAATTTTTTTAATAATCTGATATTTTTAGGGTTTAAAAAAATTAATTCTCTACTCTCTAATGATTTTATTGTTCAGCCCAGGACAGGGGTTGTGCAGACTGAGTGGGTGGAGGATGTTTTATTTCAGACTCTGTTAAATTGTGTGTGTTTGTGTGTACATTAAATGGCAAAGCATGTCAGTCACTCATGTACAACAGACATATGCATATATATTATATACATACAGACTAGAAAATTAACTTTTTTTAATTAAATACTGTTTAGTTTTAAAAATTTAAAGGTTTGCAATCCCCTCGCTACCATTAGTACTCCATTTAAAATCCTGTAGATATATCATTTAATTTTTAACTTTCCTGTTACATGTTGTTGTCTTTTCTTTTGTTTTGTTGTTCTTTTGTTTTGTTGTTCTTTTCTTTTGTTATATAGAATAAATGAAATTATTTTGTCAGTAAACAAAAAGGTTGTAACTAAAATCAGAAATTCCTTGTATTAACTTGACAGAGGCATTCAGAAAGCTACTTGACTAATTATGAAAAGGCTTACGGCTATATCACCAAAGTTAACAATGTTGGTACTGGTCAGTACTTAGATTGTATCTAGTGACTGCTTGAAAATACCAGGTGCTATAAACTTGGATGTGCAGGTGGTGTACTAGTTAACAGCTTGGAATTGGGACTTGGAGAGCAGTGTTCCAATTACAGTCAGGTTTGTTATATTCACATACTTGGACATACCCTTGGGAAAAGTATTAACCCATCTCCCCTCCAGCTATGGGTTAATTAGTAGGACTTGTATCAGTAAATCATTATCTTCCAAAAATTCTTATAAATCTAAAAATATTTCTGGTTTTAAATAACTTGCAAAAGGTTGATAAGCCATTAAAAAAAATCAATCAGTCAATAGTTATGAAAAATTAACTTACCACTTACTAAAGACAAAAAATGAGAGAATGCATTTCTTAAAAAAAAAGAAAGTTCCAGTTGCTTGTATAATTTTTAGTGCTTCCCAATTTTGCCAAATTTATTTATCATCAATTCATTTTGTTTTTTTTTGTCTTTTGTTCTAAGACACTTTGACTGCTGTGGATAGGATTTCATTCCTCACAACACAGACAACATTTACTCTTCTATCTTATCTATCAAAGCCTTAATTTTGTTAGTTTCAATACCATTTTCTTTTGCAATTGTTATTTTATCATTCAATTTGCTTATAAAAGTTCATTTATCCATTCTCCATAATACTAATATGGAGATTACTATAAATCATTGAAATATATTTTATCAAACAAAACAGCTAACATAGTTTATTTAGTTAGCCAACATTTCATTTATATATGCATATAATGGAAAGGCATGAGTCACCTTATAGAGGACCTTTTATTGTTATTTATATTAAAATAAAATTGATTGATTTCAAATTGTATAAGCTTTTTTTTCTTTCTTTCTTTTTTTTTTTTTTTTTTTTTTTAAAAGGCTGTGTGTAGAATGTCTTGTGGCTAATAGTAAACAGACCAAGTCAGAATGGAAATATCTTCCAGAAGCTTTGTTCAAATTGGTCACTTTAAATGAAGAATCTTCAAATATGGAACAAAATACCAACTCAGGATTTGCAGACCTTAATAGTGAGTAATAAAGTTTTCCCACCAGAATGAGTGGTACAAGGCTTTTCTTGAGTCCTGGGAATGCATACATCTCCTTTTTATTATAAAAGAATTTTAAATACAGCTTGTCTTCTCTGGTAACAGTTACCCTTTCCTCTGTGTTTTAATTTTGTGATCATTCACTTTATAGTTGTTCTTAACCAGATTGAATTTTGAGAAAATATAACCATAATTTTTTCTTTTCCAGTTATGACAACATACTGAAGAAAGGAATGACTGGATGTGGATTGAATAAGTTCTTCAGATTGTACAGAAAGAAAAAGAATAATGCAGAAGAAATATTGTGAAAGAGGACTGGCTCTGATTAGGAGCAGAACACTAACTTGCCCCGGAATTAAATTTGAATTCATCCAAGCTATTTAAAAAGAACAAACCCCCCCACCCCTCTCCCCCTCCCATGTGTGTTAATCTTTTTTTTATGGTAGTGGGAGGGCGTTCATGTATTAATGGAAGCCATCTTTACATGCCTAGTTAAACATTTTGTTGGAGGGGGGGGGGAATGAGAAAGATTAAGAAATCAAAGCACTTTGAGTTGATCACCCATCCACCAAATTTTATTACTTTTTTTTTTTTTTTTTTTCCTTAAATTTTAAAGACAACAGGAATGTTGCTAATGATTTTGCAATTTTTTAGGTTAAAATAAAATCCTGTTTCACTTGTATTCTTCCTGCTATCCACCATTCATACATCATTACTACGATCAAGTCGCACGTTCAAAAGATGAGTATCACTTATGTCGTGTATGATGAGGTTTTACTGTTGCATTATGGGAAGTTTAACTTGACCCTAACATCCAGTCTTAGCTCTTGGACTATACGTGTAGTGTTTAGACAAGCAGAAACTAAATTTGCATTTGATTTTTGTCAGTTAAAATATTGGCAAAAAGGAAAAATACATCTGACCTTGACAATGTGTGAAAACATTACACATTTGCTTTGTATCTTTTGAGCTCTTACAGCAGCATTTGCAGCCAGTCGTCTGTGAATATACATTTATGAATCAAAGCAATAAAGATTACTAGAGCTTATATCCACCAGAAGAGTTCAATGTTGGAGCTTGAAGACAAAAATAGTGTTTTTGTACCACCCCCACCCTCTGATCTCGAAATTTATATCTGAACTTTTAATTTTTATTAATTTTTTTTTGTGGTTTGGCAAACATGGATAAATGTGTCTACATTAAGACAGGGTCAAAAGGACAGTTTTTCCCATGATTCCATGACTTTTTAACTGCCTTCCCTCTTTGGCACTGTTTATTTTAAGAAGTGATGATTAGAATTGTAATAAACCTTAAACATGAAAGTGAATTTATACATATTCTTTGTTTTTAAGAATTGACAACAAAAATAATAAACACTATTTATTTATTAGATTGTTTATTTACACTATTTATTATATTATTTATTGGAATAGTTAGCAATTTTAGTAAATGTCTATAAATTGATGAATAAAAATTAATTTGACATTTATTTATTTATAATTATTGGTAAATTAATGCATTAATTCTAATTTTATTAATTTTTAGAATGTTGTAAATATAAAATTATTTTTGTAAACAATTTCAAATAAAATAGGGTTTAATATTTTTGTTGTCAATTCTCAACAACAAAAAATGTATAAATTCACTGTCATAATGTGCTTAGGTTTTATTCCAATTCTAATCATTGCTTTTTAAAACAAACATTGTAGAAGAGCGATAAGTAGTTAAGAAAAATGTGTCATGGGGGAAAAACTGTCCTTTTTGATACTCTATCTTATTGTGAGCATGTTTGTCCATGTTTGCTTAGTGTTTTTAAAGAAGTAGATGTAGCTCTTGCAATTAAAATTTTAATTTTGAGCCAAGAGTCAAAATCTACACCAAGTTTTACTCCACTGTTTGCCTAGTGGGATTAGAATTTTAAGCTATTATTGAACAACCAAAAATTTCCTCATGCTAACCAACTTTCCATAATTGCAAAATTCTCATCTTTCATAAAATTATTGTATATTCATCTTGTGCTTTTCTGATGGAATTCTAAAACTGGCAATGGTTGATGTTTATGGCTGCCTTGGTTAATAAGAAACACTCAAATGAACAGGGAAAGTACTATATGGGATTGTTTGTTTATTTGCAGATAAGTGTTCCAGTTCAAATACAATAAAGGAGAAAAGTAACTCAAATAAAATAAAATCTCCAAATACAAGTGAATACTGTGGTTTGTTTTATGAGTTTGGCTAAAAAAAAAAGTTTTCACAATTATCTTCATATAGATGATTTCTAGCCCTTTTTTACCTGACTAATAAATTAGTGTGACTTTTGTGTGAGTCTTTTAAATATATTTACTTATCAGTTATTATGCTCTCATTCACCAAATGAATATTTTCATAAGCATCTTGGAACAGTCTGCCATTGTTAGCAAGTTATAGTTGCTGATAATCAGGACATCTCTGCAAAGTTGTTCATGTTAGAAGAGATTTAAACACTCAGTCCTCTTCATCTTCACTGGATACCTCAGTTGTAGCCCGAGAGATGGCTTGTCTCCTGTCATCTGTTTTGTCATCTGTAAAGAAAAATTGCTTTTGATAATGATTAAAAAAAAAAAAACTAATTTTGAATTTACATTTCTATTAAGGATTGAAACAGGAACCTATCCTAGTGATGAATTTTATCCTCACCTTTTTTTTTTTTTAATTTTATTTTTTTTTTTTTTTTCTTTTTTAAAACATTGTAAGCAACTGAATGTCCTGCATACAAATTCAGGCCCTGCTCTGGTGTTGGACAACTTAGTAAACCTTTCAAGGTGATCTCCTTGTGAATTCACTCATCACTTGACACTAGTACCAAAACAAAGCCATAGACAACTATGTTCACAAATACACTTTTAATTTGCTCTAATATATAATAAATCTTGTTGTCTCCTACCTAATACCTGTTAAGATAATGCAATAAACTTGAAATGGCTGCCCTTGCTACCAATGATTCCTCACTGGCCAGCATATATAAATAGCCGACCCTCAACATATGGCTTGAAGATTGAGTTCAAGTATGAAACAGACCATCATCACACACTATATCCCTGATATTGAGCACTTTAATCCATAAATATAGTATATCTTCAAACTATATTTTTATCATCCCTCCTTATATATATATATATATATATATATATATATATATATATATATATATATATAATGAAAAGAGAGAATCTTAAAGTAGTCAATAGATTTTTTTTTTTTATATCTGGCTTTATTGCAAACCTGTGAATACCCATGTTTTTAGTAGTGTTTTCTTTTTTACCATCTTCTTAAACATGGGTCTCTGCAAAAATAATTTGCAGTAGTAGGAAATTATATATATTAAAAAACTGTTTGCACACCTGTTACTCAAAAATAAGTTTGACTTTGAATTGTTTTTATTTAGGGTCTGATTAGTGGATGTTGTAAAAAAAAAAAAAAAAAAAAAATCTGTAAAAAAACCCCCAGGATGGCTGATTTTTCAAAGAAACTGGGGATTATACATGATTTTTATTCAAATCATTTGATATTCTATTTTATATAATGGTTTCTGCAGGTTTTGTTTTAACTTAAGATTAAATAGTGTTAAGAAGGTTAATATTACAGCAGTATATATGTATATATGTTCCACTTACCTGTAAGGTCAAGTTCTTGTGCAGATGAATCTCTGATTTTAAAAAAAAAATATATATTAATATTTTTTTTTTTTTTTTCTTTTCATGAGGGTAAAAAGAAAACAAATAGTGATAGTTTCCAATAGTATTTGAACTTGTATTTCAATCATAAGGCATTCTGAAATTATTCTTTCAGATGCTTATCAAATTCTATTATAAACCAGAATCTCTGCATAAACCAATCAAAATATCTTTACAGGTCATTTGGCTCTAATATTCTCATTATTATTTTGATTAACTATAAGAGGATAATGATGCCCAATTTTTTTTTTTTTTTTAATTGAGAATGTAAATCTACTCTTTGTGAGTAGTACTTTAGTATCTAGTTTTAACCATCTCATTTGAAGTAGTACTTGCTTTATGGCAAGCATCCACAAGACTCATGTATTAGCACTAGTTGTTTTATGAAACAGTCATCAAAACTTTTATTCACACTAACCATGTAGCAAATAAATTTTTTTTCATATTAATTTTATTTGCTTTTCTTGAAAACTATTGAAACTGTCAAGTGTACAACCATTGGGTAATGGCACAAATCAGAAAAGATCTTTTTTAGAATGGAATTTATTTCACTGAGTTTATCAAATAAAATCCATAAGAGAGTATTGAGTCATGAATTGATGTAATGGAATAACCTGTCATCCCCATGAGTGACTACACTATAGGTAGTAACTAGCTGGAATCTGTTACTCAGATCTTAGCTGTTGTCAAACCCTCTGCCTTTGGACAGAGGAACCCGGGTGAGGCTGTGCCGAAGGGCAGATTCTTGTCTGGGGAGGTAGACAGATCTGAACCCGTTTATGCGGGGCGTACAGGGAATTTTTGACCAAGCCTATGGACTCAGATTGCCCTACATTAAATTGTGCCACATCCTACCTCATGGGGAGGCTGGTAAATATTGACAAACTGGAATCTGTTCCAGCTGTGCTGGTCAAACACTCTGCCTCCAGGCAGGAAAGATCTCCAGACGAGGCTATATTGAAGGGCCGAGTATCATCTCAGGGAAACAGCTACCTGACCCTGTTTTATACGGAGTCTATGGGTAATTGGCTGAGCCTATGGGCTCAGATTGCCCCACATTGAACTTGGCCTTGTGCCACATCCTGCCTCATAGGAAGGCTGGTAAATATTGACTAGTTGGGATCTGTTGAGTACAACTCTGGTTTATGCAAGAACTACCGACCTTCTAATAATAGCACTCACTACTGGATTGACTTGTGCATAACTGTTACCTTTATTCTTATTGTACTGGTTTTTTTACAATAAATCTTTACTTATTTAATCCCCCTTGTTTTTCAAGTATATATTCCTATTAGCACGGAATATAACATGAATACAAGAAAATAAATGATGTACTTATTGGGCGGTGAATTTCTTTTAATCTGTTATCATCTTTCTTCTTAATTCTACCTCTTTATTTTTTTTCTTCTCATTCTTTCACACTTAGTAACTCCTTGCAACTTAGTGGCTTTTATTGCCTTGCTTGGGGTGAAATGATTAATAAAAATTTCAGTAATACTACTTGATTACTAAC